CGTCAACGAAAACGGCAATGACTTAGTTGCCAACCCAATATTTCCAGAGAGGTCCGTACATATCCAATGACACAGATGACTAAACTTACATCTGGAAGACACAATTTCTGGAATAAACTCTAATGATAATACCTTATCACGAATCCAAGACATGGAATCACTAAATAAAAACTCCGATTTTTGCCAGATGCTAGTATGAAATTTTGTTGCCATAGTAGGTACTAAAACACTGACTCAGCTAGTAACCACAAAAAGGAATACAGTTAGATATGCAAATTAGAAAAAAAACTCACACAAATAAAAATTTAAAAATATAACATAACCTATTATTTACATAAGCTACGAGCAATATGAATTTCAATACTCAGCTACTGGAAAAGCATAGGGTAATAAGAAATACGAAGGGAATTTTCTATTAACACGTATATTTAATCGGAATCTGAATCACTGATAGGTACAGAGTGGTCTATAGTAAGTTTTAAAATGTAGGCATCCTGTGGTAAAAGGCGGCGGTAGTAATTTTCAACTTTGCCTGTGATTTCGAAATCAAATCGTTGATAAAATTTGACAGCGTCGTCATTTTCAACGTGTACATGCAAATAAACTGCTTGTACCTGAGTGTTCTTGACACACATTCGTAGAACATGCTTAAGAAGCATAGAACCAACGCCGTATCTTCTATATGGAGCAAGACAACCAAGTGTCATAATATAACAATTTTTAAGATTATCGGAACCCTCTGCCTTTTCAAATCGATAGCAAACGGCGCCTACAACAATGTCATTGAAATATGCTAGGCGGCAGAGTTGAGGGTTTTTGAGAAGATCAGTGTAGAACTTATCTGTATAATTCACAGGGAAAACGGTTCTGTTAATAACACGGAGTTGATTAATATTGTGAATTGTCAGTTCACCAAGTTCGATGCGTACATCGTTCGCCTTTTTCAAAGGAGCAATAGCGCCATTTGTAGCAGATTCTGTCATTGTCATCTGGTAGTGAGTATAAATCAACGAAAACTCAGGGATAAAAAGGCTAGGTTGGTCAGATCAAAAGGTAAGGTCGATTTGATTGGCTATCTTCTACGAAATATTTTATAAATGGTACAAAATATACATTTATAATAAAGAATCCGAATTAATTCTATTATTAATTAAAATTCCTTTTTGGAATAATGATTTATCTTAATGATGAATTAAAAATTAAGCCATTGTTTTTTTAGCACAATTTATATTGAATACTCCTATGTTAGATAATTTATCATTTGAAATTTTATTTATTATAATGAGATGTTTTCAGTTAATTTAAATCCTATGCTTTGCGTATTATTATTCAATTCTGATGGTATTTATGAGAGGTTATATTTACTTTTCTTTCATAGGTTTTAGTCTTTAATATCATTTTAATATACAATTAGAGGAGCAAGAAGGTTTAATGCCCCTTTTCTGCTTTGCTAACGTGTATCGTTGTGCAAGTCGCTGACACTGTCGATCTGACACAAGAAATCGATTGTTATCCTAAACTCAAAGAATTGGCATCTGTTTATCAGAAGAATGACTTACAACAGTTTCTCTCACCATTCAAACTTTGAGAACAGACTCCTTCTTAAATACCATTCCACATAATATCTCCTATTATCGAAATCAATGTTGATTTCTCAAATCAGTGACAGAATTGGATGAAATGTCTAGCAGAATATCTAGCTACCATCTTCAAATTCAGCGAATTGTTTGAAGAGGTCGACAAAATTTACGAGCCCCTTATTTGATGGCCTGTTCATACGGTATGAGCCCCAACTCCTGGCCGACATCAAGACATTTTTGCGAAACTTGTAGAAAAAATCCATCGAACAAGTAGTCAAGCAATCAGTTCCCAAATTTCTGCTTTTTAGTCCATCAAAAACACCAAGATTTAAACACATCTGATTCTCTTGAACCTAAGTGCAAGTAATCCTCATAATGGTCCGCTAGCTGTCAGAACTCTATACGACTTGTTCCCAGCTGATACACATGAGCTCTCTAAAGAAGTTCTTGATTTCTCCTTTGATTTCAATCTTAGGTCTTTTCCAAAACATGCCATTTTATTTGCGCGAAATGCGAGACAGGCGTTGGACGTAACGCATTACAGCGAACCAGTAATGATTGTCCAAATCAGGAACCAGACATGGACACCTAAAGACAGCTTTTACCATTGAGAACCACAAGACTCTAACATAACATGATGCATGCTAACCCGATTCTTGCTTCCAAACCTTTCAACTTTACGAAAGAGTACAGAATACCGGCTTCAATTCTACAGAGACGGACCCTATAAACTTCACAATACTTTCTCGAACTCCATAATCGTCTATAACACTTCTAACCATCAACCATAATTAGCAACACTTTCGAAGAAACTCAATACTGACAAACGACTTGCATTCAACGACAAAGCAAAATCCGAAGATGAAAGAGAAGCCGAAGGAAGGTCCTATGGATGCATTAAAGCCCTATTTCTTCAACCAAGAAGCCAAACCCGCCTGTAAATCTTACATTTTTGCGCCAAAATCAGACGCCCCTTCTATAACCCTCCCACCTCACCCACTCGAATAACACTCTTATCTAGAAAAAACCAGAAGGTTCACTTCTCCGGATGAGTCTGGAAGATTTTGCCCTTATTATTGTTTTTTTTCTGATGATGGTCATTGTGCCTATTCGAATCTCTGAACGCATTCATTCATTCCTCACTCTCACTCAATCAATCATGGCATCTTCCTTGAACTTTAATGTTTTATGAAATATACTCAATGTAACGATCTTTTATGCAACCACTCTATCAGCGCGTTTTTATTAATTGAAATAGTGCATAACATTTTATATGGGGAAGAAGATGCAGAGAGATGACACAAGAGACAGTAAGATCTATTTCACGGGATTCGAGTCAATTTATTATTCTTTTTTCCGCGGAAAACAAATGTTGCTGTGCTTTGTGCAGCGCATAATGCTGTCGTGGCTGTACAAAGAAATCTCATGCGCACTCAGACAGACTCCCAGGTGAGGCCGTTCTTCTTGTCGCGTAGGGAACAAGTGCTGTAGTGAACGCAGAGATCTCCCAACAAACCACTAATCAATAGACCCTGCAATGTTTATTAAACCCCTGATTATATTATAGTGACTAAGCTCCGTGCCAGTGAAACAGAGCCCAAATAGACGTATTCCACGCCATACATCTATTTCCTCTATACTGTTGAGGTAGGGTAGCTAATCCCAGAAGCCATTTAAAACGGAGCGTACCTGCCATAGAGATTACCGAGCTGGGGTGTGTGATAGACTTACCTCCACGTGGTGCACTCTGGGCAACGTATACTCATACAGCAAAAAAGTCTATTAACCGGCAGTTGACTTCTG